TGTGTGTGTGTGTGTGTGTGTGTGTGTGTGTGTGTGTGTGTGTGTGTTGGTGTGTGTGTGTGTGTGTGTGTGTCGGTGCCGGTGTGTGTGTGTGAGACGAAGCTTAGGAGGTGCATTCCAGATTTAACCCTTGCGGTAAGTTCCCAGAACCCATTTGCATGTACATAATCCGGGCGATAACTCAATATGATAATTTCTCTAAAATCCTATCGTGATGAAATTATTTATCGAGATATTGTGATATACAATAACGTAATCTAAGTCAGTGTAAAGTTTGAAAATATTCTTTTTTTTCTCAATAATTTCACTTGAAAACTTTGCACTCGAGTTCTTAATAAAATGAGAAAATACTCATTTGTTATTTAATTCACAGAGTATGCATACAAAAATAGGCTTTACCCTGTGGTTATTTCATATAGACTACATATTGTGCTATAAGCCTTTATCAAGATATGAAATGACCTATATCAAGATTAAAAATGTTAGCCATATCGCCCCGCAATGAACATACATTAGCTAATGTGCTAATGGGGTTTGAGCAAGAGTTTGTTAGCTAGCTATGATATGCTGTAATATAAACACAAAATGATTTGAATGGATGGCCTGAAAGCTAATTAGCTGCTCAGCTGCAGCACATTAAACAGCATGCAAACTTATCTGAAGACGTCACTTGGGTGTGGCCCCTAAGCTTCAACACCACCAGCAAAACAACACCACGTCACACAGGCTACAGCACATGTTTATTTGCTTTGTCTCTCACTCTCCATGGTGTAACACCTGCTCTCTGGAAGCCCGCCAGCTGTCAATCAAACACGGACACGCCCCTGCGGCTAGCTGAGAGGAAGTGCAGCATTTCTGGTATTGACTCGAATGATGATATCCATCCATCCATTATCTGCAAACGCTTACCCTATTCAGGGTCTTAAATGATCATATATTTCCGTTTAAAATAAAAAAACACATTAAACACATTTTATACTACATATAGGGATGATGAAATGTGATATCAGTTGGACTTGAACAAGAGTACATCGCTTTACTCGACACACTACAGCAGTAGTCAGCAAATACCGGCTTGCGTGGCCTTCTCTAATACAAAATGTTTTCTTATTGGGCTGCTGTTAATTCATTTGACTGTAGAAAATGTTAAGCCGTCAAGCTTAATAAAGTTCCAATAAAAACGACTCTTTCGTACCGCGAACAGCAAATAGATAACCGTGTTGGTCTGTGCCATGTGTGAGTCTTAGTAAATAATTAAATGAAAGCTCCTGCTACTGAAATGAGGTCTGATAAACTCACCAGATGAATCTCAGATGATAATTAAAGCCACCTCAGTTTAATTAAACAATATCATAACGCTTTTATTCAAATGCAAATGTCCCGCCCTAGATTTACATCTCTCAAACACAAATGACAGGATTATATTATTTTCACACAGCGACCGTTTTGTTTAGCTGAAAAACAAAGAAGATATTTTTGGCATCAGCAAATAAGATAAATTCACACGTCTATGTCCAATCTTCATTAAAAGTCACATTTTATTTGCACCAGTGTTGATAATGTCATTAACTTATGTCTGAGTATATATGTGACAGTATATTCAGTTTTTATAAATCTACATGTGAGCAGATGTGACGAGAAGGTGATTTGTTAATGATGTCATTGTAATATGATTACGCAGATGTTTTGAATGGAATCTTATGCAGCTATTGGCCACTAGAACACTTAAACCTTTCTCCCGCTTTTTGCTAAAGTAGTGGCCACTCACACATATACACACACACACACGCACACACACACACAGTAATAGCATCAGTAAAAGGTAGTCTATTTTGGTTGAAACAGAATGGCTTTTAGCTTCCCCTTTAAAAACAGAGTCAGCTTGTCCTTGTTTCCCTGTACTACCCATTACGCACGTGTCTGATGTGTGTGCCTTGGTGTGTATATATGTGTGTGTGTGTGTGTGTGTGTGTGTGTGTCGGGTAGGGGAGGGGATGCTGTCATCTTCACACAGGATCACGGGATCCTCTCCTCTCTCTCTACCGCTGCAGAAATCCTCCCATCTGTCGTTACTAATCAGCAGAGAGCAGCTTGCATGTTCACAGGGTCTTACAGTGGGATGACATCTCTCTCTCCCACAAAGTCACTCACACACACACAGATTACACTAATACTGACACAGCAAAGCAAACCCTGGCCATTACTCATTAAAACGTCACCATGCTTTAATTGTCTTTCTCTGTTCATTTCTTGCCAAAGCAGGAGCTTTTTTTTAAAGCTGCGCTAATCATGATTCTTATAACAAGAAAATACCACGTCTAATGGAAAAGCTGTCTCTCTTATCGATGAAACCCACAGAGATTTATCACCCAGCTTTGCAGTTCTTTGCACGTTGTAGCGTCTTTCAGCTCATTGTTTTAGTTTTGCAACCCCAGTTTTAGTTAAGTCTCTCATCGCCACAGCAGGCAGCTGCTTTAAGCAAAGAAAAGCTCTGATAACCCCTTGTGCGCCACCTGCCCAGCCAACAAATAGCGCACACACAAAGTTGGCAACTAGCTGGTGAACATAGTGCAGCACTGAGTAGCTTAAGAGTAAGATACTTCCCTCAGGAAAACAGAGCTCAAAGGAGTTATTATTGGACTTTTGTTCCAGGTGGCCAGAAACACAACTCTAAAATAATTCTGATAAAGCTCCATGTGTGTGTTAGATTGTAAATAGGCAACTGTTTGCTAGCATGTTAGCTATATCAAGTTTAGTCAAAGGTGATAATATGTCAGCGCGTTTACAGCTTGTTACGCTGCCACCCAGTGGTCAAAAAAAGTATTAATGCAGCTTTAAAGTAAACAACTCATTTTTACAACTAGAATCTCGTGCAGCGTAGTGTTTCTGAAATGTACTATATTTTTGGATTGCAATCGAATCATCTGGTATTTTTTTTACCCATAGGATTTTATTATGATTTTAATTAATGTCACGCATACAAAGTAACAAAGTGTGAGTCAGTGATGTGAGTTTAAAAAGCCAGAAAACCCAGCAGCTGGCCAAGTCACCAGCATTGTGAACCCACTGCAGATATCATATGGTTACTTATTTTCAGTTTGAGTAAGGTCTTCCAGGAATAAAATGTGGGATGTTTGGTGTGACTAGCGACACTGTTTACGGGTTTACTGAGAGCCTTGAAAATCCCCACTGCAGAATCTAACAATAGCTGCCGTATCACGAGACCTCTCGGTGGCACTTGCGTATTGTTGCACAAGGAGGATAAAAATAGTTATTTCTGTCTCTCCATCTCTCTGTGTCTATATCTATTCAGTGGAACTGATGATCTCAGGCTCCGCAACAGACACTCTGGACCGAGCTGTGTCTGTGTTTGACAAGAGAGAGAGGAGAAAAGTAAAAACAAAGAGAGGAGGGATGGAGGAGTAAAAAGAAGCAGGCGGACACAAAGGAAAAGGGGCAGTCAAAAGAGGAATTGGGACAGAGTACACAGAGTCTAAATCTCATGGAGTCTGATAGAAGTAAACATTAGTAGTGTGTCTCAGAATCAAACAGATGCCATAATCCACTAATGGTCCACAATCAGGCACAGTCCAGGACTAAAATAAAATAAAGCAGGAAGAAAGAAAGGGATTTTTGCTATTTCTAGAGTGATACACTTAAATCACTCCACTGATGTTGCGTTCACTGAAAAAACTCACAGCTGATGACAAGTAAACACCCATAATTTGTGGTTTGCTAGAAGATATCTCTTGTGTCCGTACGCTAAATATGAAGCTTTATCAAGAACATTTTATTAAGACCAGGCGGCAACCTCAGGTTTCGGAAAAGTGAAGCCAATGTCGACAGTGCCCTGAACTACATTCTCTCTACTGGCCATCAGGGGGCGACTCGTCTGGTTGCAAAAAGCAGTCAGAGTGTATGGAAGTCTATGAGAAAATGACTCTACTTCTCACCTGATTTATTACCTCAGTAAACATTGTAAACATGAGTTTATGGTTTGAATCCCGAGTCCATTTAGAGTCAAATAGACCATAAAGCGAAGTCTGCTTTGAGGCTACCTTGTGATTAACAGCTCACTACCAAAAAACAAGATGGCGACGGCCAAAATTACAAACTCGAGGCTTCAAAACCGCAATCCACCAACCAATGGGTGACGTCACAACGACCCTGTCCACTTCTTATATACAGTCTATGATTAAAATAGATTAGCTCATGAATCTGAACCACAGTTCTTCCTTATTCATGTCCCGAGCTCTCAATCACAAGGTGTTTCTTTTGGTCCGTGACCTTCTGTTTGTCCCACCTCGCCCTCAGGTCTGTTCTGTATCCCCGTCCTGCCGCCACGTCGGGGTTCCTTCTACGTGGAGAGCGGCACGGGCATGTCGATCGGCAGCGTGCTGGCCTTCTGGTGCAGGGAGGGATACCAGCTGGTCGGCAGCGAAAAAATCTACTGCAATGTCAGGAACGGAAAACCGCAGTGGAGCAACTACCTGCCCGTCTGCGAAGGTGAGCTGCTTCATTTGGCCACCGCCGAACACAGATTTTCTGGGGCATTTGCTGATGAAATAAACTTTTAAAAATATAATTTGTCCCCTCTCCCCACCCCCACAGCGATCCCCAGACCTGAGGACCGTGGTCTGAGAGTGGCTGTGTTGGCTTCAGTGGTCAGTGGCATTGTCATCCTCGCCATGTCCCTGTCCTTCCTCATCTGCTGCCTGCAGGAACGATCCAGTCGGTACCGAGCCAAGAAAGAGGGACAGAGCAGGTAGGACCCGGAGAGCATACAACCCCCCTGCCTGTTACATGTAGTCTTCCCCCTGGTGTGAGAGCACCACCTGAGCCGCTAAAGTTCTCTCCTCCTCAGGCGCAGAGACAAGCGCTCGTCCCGTCGCAGCGAGTGTTGGCTGGAGAGAGAAGAGGGTGAGTGGGAAGCTTTCCCTCCTCCCAAGATCTTCCATCTCTCCCAGAGGATGAACCCCCGTCTGGCTCCAGACAGCCCCCTCTACCTCACCGGAGGGCTCGGTGGATATGAGAACAGAGGATACCAGAGGTAAGCTGGAAAGCGGCACTTGAGTCTTGAGAAAAGAAGATCCCGCACTCTGCTGTTGCTCTGCGTCACAACTTATCGGTTATACTGACTTTTAGATTCTTCTTTCTTGCTTTCATACAGGAGTCAGGAGAGTTTGCTGAAGGCCTCCCTGCCCGGACTCTACCGCTCCGAGTCCCAGCTTTACCCACACGTCGTCCTGCAGAGGGTCCCGACTCCGACGGCACCCTCCGCCCCTTCCGCTCCATCCGCCCCACTCTACCTCCACCTGCCCTCCACTGCCTCCTCGCCCGCCCACGTGACCACCCACGGTCAGCCTCACCTCATGGCGCAATACCCTACGCCGACATACCCGCCCTACCCCAACACGGCGGTTCCTGCATACCACCCGGCACCGGCACCCATCTACCCCAACCCCAACCCGACACCACAGCGGCCATGGCAGTAGCCACGCCTTCCACTTTCCACAGTTACAGGACGCTGTGACGTCCCCCGATGAAGCCGTTGGAGCGTTTTTGGAGATACTCCTCCTCATCCCCGTTTTTTCCCGGAGAAAAGGCTGCAAATGCAAAGCAAAACTGGAGATGCAGCCAGTGTAGAAGTCGCCTCTTTTACTGCATGCTTGCTGAACGTCTCCCGTAGTTTGGACTTAACAGGAACTGAACACTCTAGATGTCCTTAATTCTTGCTGAACTGCTGCTGCTGTTCCCTTTAAGAGCACTTCTGTGGAGAAAGTCTTGCTTTCTTTTAGCCGTCAGAAATTAGAAGACAAGCTTCAAGTAGCTGGTCGACAAGGGAAAACAGGACGTTTTGTTTGAAGGTGTACTAATGCAGTTCAACCGTTGACATTTATGAAGGATAGGAAGGCTCTGAAAGGACTTTGATGATGGCCGCCACTGTTTAGGCAGCTCAAATCTCTCAGCAGTCTTTGTTTTTTAATAGTTTAAGAAAAGGATCCCTATCAGGCTTCCTGAAGTCCACGCCATCTACTCTAGACATACAGTATACATATGTTGTTGTTAGCTAAAGACTTAACATGAAATTCTGAAATCTGATGTGTGTTGATCTTGTTAATATGTATTTTCTTACACTGTGGAGTAGCAAACACCGCAAAAATGCCAGTGCTGCTGCAGCCACTGAATGCAGCCAACTTTGTGTTGTTCGTGTGGATTTAAAGACACATGTGATCGTTGACCCTTTCTTTCTCACCAGAATCTTGAACTAAATGTCAAAGAAGAAGGTTTTATTTTTCTGTTTGTACTGCAGCAACTCATTCTGTCACAATTATTGATGTCTTATGGTCGTCAGTTTAAAGTCATTCAGAGCCCCTGGTGGGTTTAGGAACATGGAGAATATACATGACTGGTATACATGACTGGAAAACTGAGATGGGTCAAATAATAACTGCAAATACTGATCACAACTTGACTTTATTAAAGGCTTCCAGGTAGGTTCAGATAATATGCTGAAAATCATGTCAAACTCAATTTCAAGAGAAGCTCTTGCATGATGTAAACTAAGGTTTTCTGTGTAATCATAAGGAGGTCAGACTGCTGTTTTGTTCTTGATGCACTAGAAACACAAGATGCACTGACATGTAAAGTTGGAGCAGCGAGGTGGAGAAACCTCTGGACCGTGCCGACCTATGAACTCTGATTCGCTTGAGTTCTCGAAAGCATCCGCTGCAGCTTTTACAGCTAATGTGGATATTGCTCCTGATAAAAAATGTTATCTTTAAATGAATAAGGAACCTTTATTATTCCAGTATGTACATATATTTTAATCATAAACTCTGTCTGAGAGCCCCTTTAATGTTGCTTTAGTCAGTTCACACTCTAGCAGTGAGCTGTCTTATTTTTTACAGAAGGACTCGAGTAGACACACTAACAAATCTGCACTTTACACTTTTTGAAGGGGGAATTTTTAAACCTTTACTGTAAACAAATTGTTGTATAATAATATTAATAATAATACTGCCATAAAAGCTGAATAAATAGACTCTTGTTGAGTTGAACAGTTCATGGTTCAGCATGTGTTTTTCAATGTGTGCTATTCTGACAGCAGAGAGGAAGAAAGGGAGGTGAAGGAAGAGAGAAGAGAGGGACAGTCAGGGTGTTCAGGAGAAGATGGACCTAATTCACCACAGTCGAAATGAGGAGAGGACCTCATCGGCCTGCAGAGCGGCACTGACACATGAGGGAGATGGAGTGGTCTGTCTGCTCGCACTGGATTTAGATGACGAGAAAAAAGAATCTCAAGCTGGCGTCGGCAGCCACGTCTCATATTTACCCCCCGAGTAATAGATGTGTGATGCTACCATGAGGAAATGGAAAGTTGATGTAGCAGCGAATAGATAGTGAGATAAAGGAGGCTGGCTTCCATGACACTGATCACGAGTGAGAAACAGACATAAATGTTTTCATGAAATCAGGTCTGGAGAAATGAATCTGTAAAACAATATATCTCCACTACACACAGTGTTAGAAGAAGAAATTTAAATATCCATAAAGAATTTATTATCTTTCTTCAAAGCAGAACAGAAATACAAAAAAAAAGAAAGAAAGAGGTGTTACATACTGTACAGACTGTAGGGAGTTGTCAAACTTTAAAACTTGGATAATGAGAACTGTCCCCATATAGACAGAAGTGACCACAAGCATGTTCTGTTTGCAAAGGAAAACCATCAACATCAGGCAGTCAACACACTGCATCCAATGGAAATGACCTGTACTGCAAAGACACTTTGCATTAAGGGTGGAAAATCAACACTAAACACCTGCTCATTTGTTTAGTCTGCCCTGTAGATAGTTGTGCACGTGCGTATGTGTGTGTCTGCATGTTTCCGAGGCGTTCAGTTGCAAGTGGGCAAGGACTGCAAGACACGCGAGAGGAGAAAGAAGACACACAAAGAGGTTAGTTGGAGTTTTGTGTTTAGCTTTGATTTGATTGATTGCAATGTGTGTATTTTGTATTACCTGTATATTTTTACTTTAATTCATTCTTGGAGATGTTTCAGATCCATCGGCTTACATAAAATGTATCTAATGACTTCTATTTGCAATGGACTTCAGGCTTTGTAGAGTTTAAGTACCTTTAAATGTATGTTTTTATATATACGTAAATGAGACCAACTTGAAGGGTCATTTCACCCAAATTTCAACGAAACATATTTTCACACCAGCAGTGGTAGATGGTTTTGGTTGTATTTCTCCAGGTTTTGAGATATCACCCTCTGACATTTATGCCTCCACCTCAAAACAAGAGCTCACAACTTTAAAAATAATTAAAGAATTGAACACCTTGAACAAAGGTGAAACGTTTGTTTCACCTTCGTGCTGCAAATGAGGCCCTGAGAGCAAAGAACACGACAGACATCTGGTGAAAGTCTGAAAATACCCTCAAACCTCAGCAGGGATGCTCGACAGTGTTGGTGACACTTAATGTGCACAAAATCTCTTATACTTCCCAAAATAATCCTCTCAATGTGCATGAGAGCCCAATGCAAGACAGAAACAAGAGTTGGAGTACGTTTTAAGGACTTAAAGACGTACAATTTGCAAATCTCTCTCAATTCTACCTCGTCATGTAACTATTTAGATACAGTTGAGTCATAATGTAGCTTATCTCCTCTTACATTGTGCGAGAGTATAAAGGACTAGACACAACGAGAGCGTTACAAATAAATTACACTTATTCATTTTACATTTAGCAAAATGCTTTGAGTGAATTTCAGTTCCCTCATGTCTAGGGATTTTATTGTGAAAGGTAAGAACGGAAAGAGTGGATCTTGGATGCACTGCCTTTGTCAAGGTTGAAAGGAGTAATAACGTTTGCTGTTGTTGTACACCTGTACATTTTGATTGTGTTCGTTCCACACAACGTGATTGGTTGACTCCTTTATTAAAGGTGCGAAAGCTCAGAAAAAATCAACCTTGTTCCGGAAAAAAATTAAAGTTGCTTTTCTGCAGCGTAATTTTCAATTTTCGTATTCTGTGTCAAAGTGCTTATGATAAAAACAACAGTTTGAAAAAATATATTGACTCGCACAAGACAAAAAAAAAACGCACCCCAGGCTGTAAATAGCTTCGGACAGGATGTCAAATGTTGATAATCACTCTCTTTGACTTTATTATTTCAGGTGTAACACTGTATCAGAGATTGTCAGCATGTCAGCGTCTCCTCGCAAGAATTTCGACCCAGACAACAGTTTTATTGAAGATATCTCCAAGAGCTGTCGCGAAGACAGGTGGGAAAACGTCTGGTTTGCCGCTGACATTTTCATCCTGATCACAGGGGTGGTGGCTAACGTTACACTGCTTTGGCTGTTTCTGAGGGAAAAGAAATCGCTGTCGGCCTCGAAGGTAGGTCCACTGCTCCTAACCGCTCTGAGGTATTGTATTCAATGCTATGGACCAGGTAGTTTCCAGTTAGAGTTATGCTTGGCATTGGAGAAAGACTAAAAGCATAACATATAACACACCACTCTCTTGTTAAACTGTATCTTGTGTCTAAACCTTTGTCTTTCAGGTTATAGGTATGAATCTTGTCGCAATGGATCTCATCTACCTGTCTCTATTGCCTTTCAACTTTACTTACAACCCTAAGAGCGGCGCAAGTGTCAACACAACTCATTCAGGTGAACACTGCCAGAGATTGGTGACAAAGATAATAATTCTTTTTTGGGGTTGGAATTTCAGTGAATTGCCGCGGTTTTTCTTCGGTGAACTTTCTCTTGCCAATTTGCACCTTTGATCGACTGCAGCTTTTGAGTGAACCAGAGAATCTAAAATAGAGGAAGTTATCGTATTATCATCTGTGTTGGACCAACCACCTTTACATATCTCTGCCCCGCCAAAGTATAAACCGCACCCAAAAAGATGCATGGTCGCAGTCAGTTGTGAGACAGAAGTCTGGTCAAATATGTCTCCTGAATGAACTGTTAGCTTTTTGTTCTGTTAGTGACTGAGGTAACTATAGCTTCCTAACTGCCATTTGGCAAGCCGCCTTGGTGGACTATCATGGCCAACTAGCGCTAGCTGCCCTGTAGGCTAGCACCAGAGTCTTAAACTGGATGCGAACTCTTACAGGGAGCCAGTGTAGAGAATGGAGAAGGGAAGTTGTGTGGGAGAACTTGGGGCGATTGAACACCAGACGAGCTGCAGCTTTCTGGACAAGCTCCAGAGGTCTGATGGCTGATGCCGGGGCTCCGGCAAGTAGTGAGTTGCAGTAGTCCAGGCGGGAGATGACAAGAGCCTGGATGAGCACCTGCGCCGTCTCGTCAGTGAGGAATCCTCCTGCAATGTTTGCTAAGAACGACAGTTGGTTGTAAGAAAGGGTAGAAGAGAAACCGCTCTGAAGTTCTTGACATCAGAGGGGTCAACTGATGGTTTCTTCAACCCATCACCCTCCACCCATATGCATCTGCGTAGTTAGAAAATGTTAGATGTGCACGGACAGGCGAAGACCCGCTGCACAAAATTCCTGCGAACGGGGGACAATGTTTACTGAAGTACTAAATCAAGTGAGAAGTAGGGTCATTTTCCCATAGACTTCTATACAATCAGACTTCTTTTTGCAACCGGAGGAGTCGCCTCCCTGCTGGTCAGGAGAGAGAATGCAAGTTTTAAGACACTTCCGCATCGGCTTCACTCGGCCGAACCGGAGGTTGACACCTGGACGCAACACATTGGCCGAAATGCAATCTGGTAACCCACTGGCTATCAATGATGATGTAGCTTTTTGTTGGTTTAGAGATTAACTTGTGTAACAATCCGGTCGCACACTTCGTCTCTCAACACCAACTCCAGTCTTGCATCTCAAGTTGCTAAAGTTGTTAATAATGAGCAGTGCTTGGAAAAGGAAGTTGGACATCTGCTGGCTACACCAGAACCACAGAAATACAGCCTATAGCCCCCGTATTCATCAACAAAACCGTTGGGCTCAAGTGACGTCCTTGTATTTTAAAGTGTATCTTTCCAACTGAAGAGCTGCTGGTCCTACTTTGTAAATTAGCTTTTCCTTTTTTATCAGTTTGGTGTGAAATTAGAGTTTTGTGTGAAGTTGGAGTAAGTTAAATGATTTTGTTAGCCCATGTTAATTCTGTCCAAATGGTTTTAGGAAGCCTTCAAATTTGACTGCAATAGCCAAGTGCTAACCCTGTGATTGTCCTTTCAGCCCAACAAAACAATACTACACAACCACTGAATGTTGCAAAAGACATCTCCAGTATGTTCAACCTAATTGGCTGTCCCCTGCTGCTGGCCTGTATGTGCATCGAGCGCTACCTGGCCGTGATTAGACCTGTGCTGTACCTGAGAGTGAGGAAGTGGGAGTATCGAATGGCTGTTTCTGTTGCGGTGTGGGCGTTCACCTTGTGCTTCTGTCTAGCTTCAGGTAAGTGTTGGGTGAGAGTTCGGCATGTAAATCATGTTTAAGGATAAAAATGGTTTTAAAAAAAATCGACTAATGAATTACAGAAAGCGACTTCCCTCCAAAGTCGAATTGAATGTTTTAAGTTGACATTTTCTCTTCCTTGTTTTTTTACAGGTTTAGTGCACAATTTAACTATCATGTTCATGCCTGTCTCCATCATCATCTCCTGCCTCTTCTGCCTAATGCTCGTCTGCCTTGGGGGAGTGATCTGCTCACTGCAGAAGCAAAGTCCTGCCCACACCACACATGGTAACCAAGTCCGCTCTGTGTCACTCCAAAAGAGACGGGCGGTAGATAATGTGTTGGTCGTGGTGGTGCTTGCAGTGATGGCTTACCTCCCAGTCCTGATGTTGGTTCCTCTGGTCTTTTACATAATATACTTTATGGAAGATATCAATAAGGACATTTGTAATATTTTGGAAACAGCTTTGCTATCCCCCACATTTGGTGTATTCATAGGCCCTTTGTTCTATCTCTCTAAAGCAAGACAGATGTGCTGCCTTAGTGGAACAGGAAAGACATCTAATGAATAGAGACATGCTACGAATTCCCCAAACCTCTAATACCTGTGAATGTGTGACTTATTGTTTTATCTTTTTGTGAGCTGTTATATCTTAAACTATTGTAGCTCCGGAAGATATGTAACTTTTAAATAACTCAACCGCACTTTGGGACACAAACACCAGTCTCAATCACCGATCTCCCGGTTGAAAGTCCTTTGTTGTGTTTGCTCAACACAGCCACCTCCCTTTCCCTTCCACCTTTCTGGCTTTTTTGCGGGTTATTTGTACGCCAAGTAACTAGCCGGTGAGTAGCCGGCACCATAGTTTTGTCGCCTCAGCGTAAACGCAACGGTTTCATGGTAACACGTAAAGTTACATGTGAAAAGCCTTCAATGATAATGATGTGCGGAAATGTCGTACTATTTATATACCTTCCTGAGATTGGGTTGAATAATGACGAGGAAGACTTTACATTGTTACTTGAAAGCCTAGTGTGTCTCATACAGAGGATAAAGGGTGCCTTGTGCGCCGGTATCAGACGCCAAGGAAACTCAGCTGATGTCAGTAAACTTGAAAATATGTTAACTTTTGCTTTGGGGTAACTTTTCAGTCTTTTTAGAAATGAAATGTGATCAAAGTGATTTGATTTCCTTTGGAGCCTGATGGCTGCCTGAGATATTGGCGCAGGGCCTGAATAACTGTTCCAAATTCACAACTGCTCACTAAATGTGACCGGGCCTTTGCTGTCCGGGCCTCGAAGCAGATTTTATTTCATTTATTTATTTCATCTAATTTTACCCGTTTGATTGTGTTTCTTATTTGCTTTCATGTTTTATTGTGAAGCACTTTGTAACTTTGTTTTGAAAGGTGCTGTATAACAAAAGTTATTATATAAAGGGTAATAACAGATGAGGAAAGAATGGCAAAGATAATCTTTCAACCCAGAAATTGATGATTGAAGGTTATATTTTCCATGGATGTGTGAGCAGGTGGGAGCAAAACATTTAGTGTTGTAAACTTCATACCTCAATATGTAATACATTTTAAATAGATATAGAATATTGTTGTTATCTGTGGGTTTAACCTTAAGATAAGGATAGTTTTGTTTTTTAATCAAATTATTACCAGAAATAAATCATACATTAAGATAAGCGGTTAGAGATAATGAATGGATGTTATGGAGGTACAAATATAAGGAATAAAGTACAATATCATCCACATAATTCAGATTTTAGTCTCAAAAAAAGACATCTACTATATTTCAACGATGTGTAATTGCTATGGCCAACCTTTCTATTGTTAGTACAGATCTTAGCCTCCGGGAGAAGATAGACTACGATTCTATATTGGGCAACATCGTGGAGCAGCCTGCAAGCTGACACGATGCTTTCAAAATCAGTGTCTTCCTTTCCTTGTTTTTGTGTGCATTAACACCCATATTATACCAATATGAACGAACAGCCATGTTTCTTAAAAATCTGACCTCAGTAGTATCTAATATTTTATAGGTGACATGACAGGGATTCATATTTCCTGCATGTTTGATATTAATGCATTGTGTAAAGGCCAACAACTCTCTTCAATAAATATTTTTTGAAATAAATGGTTTGTGCCCCTTGTTTGTCCCTCTTTACCTCCGCATTGTTTCACTGAGGGAAGACTTTATATATCTGATTAGCAACGTAGGAGTTATGCACAAGATTCCTTCCTCTAGTAAAAACAACAGCTACTCAACGTGATGTGACAACATTGAAATTGTGGTAAAGACTAAATAGAACTAGGACCATTTATGAAAAATTGTTTTACTTTTAAAAGACTCCAACCTCCATTCCTCGGTACAGCAGATACATCAACGACAACTTTCACATACAAATATCATAGCGGGGCGTGTTCAACATGCTGTAGTGTCCATTACACATATATGGCTTTGATGGCAGCAGCAAACATCGCCCAACAGTTTTGCTTATAAAGCCAAAGAGAGCACATAAGCGCTTGATTTACAATTGGACCTTGTCAGACACGACATGTGCTCAAGGCAACACAATCACATTATGCTTTCAAGATTAGAGGAACCAGTGATATAACCAGAGTTTACAGGTGCCGCACACAGAGGCCCGTCACCGGGTTTAAAAGTGAAAACACAGATGACTGGCATTTATCGGTTTACCCAAGTTAGGTCATGAGAAAATAAATAGCTTGGTGACGTGATGATTCCTGATCGTGGCCACAACCCTTGCTTTTTTAAGGCTGATGAGGGGGTTAAAACTCTTCTCTCTGTTCTGCCTCTCCACTGATGAGTTTTTCATTTTGATCTTTGATTTTGACAACGAATGTAAAACAAAGACAAACAACTGCATTGATCCAGAATAGCTGTTAGTATAGGGATCTTCTTTTATAAGAGGCTGTTGCGGTAAAGGGACATTCAGGCATAGATAGACTGCAACAGTATCGTCGCCCTGGCAATACAAATACTATGGCTAATTTATGTGCAGTGTAAGGCTGTTCAAATAGTATGTTTGAGCCAACAGCAAGGATAAGACATGACACAACCAAAAAACATGTTGGCTTGTCCCTTGTTAAGAACAGAAAACATTCTCACATCCACGGTGGACCGCCCATACCTTATGACAACCCATATGAGTTCAGTGCACAATGGATTACCTTCACAGTCCCGTCTCTGAAGTACAATAAATATGTGATCACAGTATAGGCATACTAGGGCTCACTCCTTAAGTGCCCATTCAATATGAAACCAGACACTTTACCTCAAAGACCTCTAAAAACCTGTTTTTCCCTGTACCAACAGTTCACAAAGTAAAGATTTCGCCTTGAAAACACATTTCTGCTTTTGGTTTTGATAGCGTTAGCACTTATTCAAGCTAGCTGGTGAAGTTGTGTGTTGGTGGTGCCAGATGTCGGTCTCTTGTAATTTCTGTGGAAAAAAACTTTCCAACATGCTTTCTTATGAATTTCCAAACACGAAGACATTTGAATCATATAGAATTATTTTAAAAGACACAGTTCAAACCTTGTCTGTTTGCTTGTGCGAGCTATAATCTTCCAAACGGAGGATAACTGGAACCCTGGTGGTGGTGGGTGTGTGTTGGGTGTGGTGCGATGCCTGACGCATCTTCATTTTGGCCGATTTAACGAGTTTGTAATCCTCCATGAAGAGGAAAAGGGTTCCAGTTCTCACTGGACACAATATGAAGAAAACATGACTTAACGTGTGTCCTTTAAAAAACATGGAGCAATCAGACCACGTCCTGAGAGACATGCAGGTCATCACTGGGTACCAAAGGTTTGGCAGATGTCAAGAGGTTTGAGGAGTTTCTCTAGCAGCACTGCACATGGCAGGAGTCTGATTCTCCTCCAGACCTCGGCCCCTCAAGGGGGGCAAGCAGAGCGAGTCTGGGTTTAAGCTGAAGTGTCACTGAGGAAGACACTGAATCACCACAGGCTCCGCATACACTTTAACCTCACATTCTTTGATGCGAAAGCCGGGGGGGGCAACAAGGTGATCACAGTAACAATAATTCCCCTCAACCCTTGTTCAGCTCTCCTTTAAGTCCAATACGTCGCGGCCTATGGTACAAGTCCTGTGGGTTCAATTATGCAAGGCTGGCTCAGTCGGGCCACAGAATGAACAAGTGAACGGCCGAGTTCTCTGCGAGAGAACAACGCGAGAGGGCGTGAGACCTTGAAGACCGGGCATCCCTCTAGAAAGGCCAGTGTAACTCCTTGAAGTCCCCCGACTGACCCATGTTCACGTCCGTCTCCAGCAAGCTCATGATGACCGCCATGGCCGCCTCGTCGCTGCTGAAGCTGCTCAGGCCTGGCACCACCATGCTGTCCAAGTCCAGCTGGGACGGCTGGCCTGGGCGAAACAGAGCGAAGAGAAGAAAACTTTAGGGGGGGAAAAATGCACGGACGTTGTGGGATATTGTTTTAAATGAACCCGTTGTAGTGTCGTAAAAATTATGAAGGATTAAAGTGTTAAATTTCATGGAACATAGCTGGATTTTCCTCCTCAGAGCTGTTGGATAAACTAATTGGATCACCTGCTGATTAAGGGCCTGCAGCTGTGAAATGGTGGGTGGGGTCAACAATACAAAGACTGCAGGAGTTTAATTGACAATATAAAGTGTCTAAAGGTCTTTTTGAAGCCTTCGGACAGGCTTTTTGGGGGAGCGGACCTGAACTCTCAGAAGTTGCGCTGCCGGCGCTCGTTGCGGTCCTCGTTGCGGTCCTCGAGTCAGACTGGGACTGTGAGGAACTGCATGCCGCCTCCTCTCTGCTGGATGCCTGGAAGTCGTGCGATGTGAAAACACTGCACAGGGCCTTATGTTTCACCTTTCTCCACTGGAGCGTGTAATTAAACTCAGGAAAATAAGTTGTAGAAGTAGCCGCTGCCTTAATGTATAAATAACACACAGCATCATTAGCACAAACTGAAATATGTCAAAAATGGATTTCCCATACAAATTCCATAGACATTAATTTGAATCAAACCTCCTTATGTCACTAAAATTGACAATAAAAAAAAGAGGAAACACAAGACATGCACAAGACAACGATGTAGAGGTTTAAAGTCTCAGATTTTTTTTTATTATAAAATTTTAAAAATTGTGTAATTTGCCTCAGAGAAAATGTGCTGTCATGGTAAAGAGGACACTCACACTGGTGCTGGTTTGCGGGGAAACCAGTGCACATTTCTCCTGGGCCGGGCCAAACGGACTGGAAGCTCTGCTTGATGGGGAGGAGTTCATCCTATTTAGAAACAGGTCGGAACACAGCATGGGATCGGATTATTTTTGTGAAAATTCCATCTATTACCTAATTTAAATCCTATCACTATTTGATGTACACTACCCCGACATGCCACTTTTAACCCATTGCTCCGTAGGCTCTAAAAATATGTCCATCTAATCTCTCTCACACACTCACACACACACACACAGCACCTGTAGGAGTCGATGAGCTCATTTGCGATTTGGGTCCCTATGCTGCCCGCGTAGATCATTGTGCCCACACCGCTGGAAAGGCCGGGAATTATGGGTAACTGCTTTGTGTCCTCTGTGGAATAAGAAGACAGTAGAATCAACTGTTATGTTTTTTTTTTTTGTTAAATCACACACAAGAGATGAATACTGAATACACGGCATGCATTTCTTACCCTGAAGTGCTTTTGAGCCGCCTGCCTCCTCATCTTTTGTGTGACCAGGCCCCCTGCTGGTGCAAAGGAGTATTTATGATGCTATTAAATCAATGAATAAACTGTATAGCTGTGCTACGGCATCATGATGAGAAGCACAATGTGTGCATGAAATCAGCACAGAAACAAAGCTTTTGGACAATCAGCGTCATGCAAATTGTACCAAGATCTCATTGTTTTTTGCAGCTGTAAAACATGAGTGCAAAGCAATAGCTGAGGAGTTTGTGACAACACCGTCCTCCGATTGTGAGACAGGAGACACTTGTCCACATCTTCACGGATGAATCAATACTTACGAGACGACCCTGTTTGAAGACACGATGAACTCGACTTCTTTGGTCCATGGATTTGTGAAACTAAACCACTGACTTTGGAGCGAAACGTAGGAGCCGTACTTCGTTTTGAACTTGTAGCACTGCGTCTCGATCTTCTCTTTGCTTCGAAGAACTGCTAAGAGATATGACACGGGTGTTACAACAGAAAACAGCACAGAGGGTCAATTTGTTGAGCTTTTCCACAACAGAACACACAAGTGACGCGTTTTTTAAAAACACAGCTATCTTGTTTTTTGGGGGTACACTTGAAATCGTATTTCGGGTTAAAGTTGCCAACTGCGGTTGCTTTCCATCACCTTGCCTGTGTTTCTCTGCGAGGTGCCGCAGGTCGTCCTGGTGGAAGTACTCGTAACAGGACGTGCCGAGAACTTCCTGCGGCAAATAACCGATGACTGTCGTGGCTCTGGGAAAAGGGAGAGGACATGGAGGGAGTTCAGTTACTCTGGAGATGGAATGCTGGGTAAATGAGCCTCTCCGCGTGTAACATTCAGCAGTCACATATATGGGGAATTTAAATGATTCACTATACTTGTGGTATGAAATTACTTCCCAAAGAAAATGAGAAGAGATATTTATGCGATGCATAGCTCCTTCTGAGAAACAATGGCAAAGACTATAAGCAAGGATTATATGCACTGACAAAACTCTGGCTGCCAAAGAGTTCCTCCTCGCCACAACTCTGCCATTTCATTCTCAGCGGAACAAATCCATGACTCACGGCGGAGAGACCAATGGTTACTTGTGCAGATGGAGGGAGGGGAAACTCACTGTTGTTCTACAAAAGTGAACTTTCCATCGATGGCACAGCGGGTGACGAACTCAGAGGGCTTGATGGTGACATCTTTGGAAGGCTGGTTGGGCACGTGGGTGAGGAGGCGGCACACCGTCACCAGGCAGGTCAGGTTCGAGGTCTCCTTCTCGGCCTCGCCCTCCGACTCCGGCTGGCTGCTCGGCCAACTCCGCATGTATCCGGTGCAGTGGAGGGTACAGTATTTGTAAGTGTCTGCGGGCAGAAAAACAACAACTTTTGGATATTTGCACATATAATGTCCTTTTTTAAGTTTTGATTACCGTCTGCAAAATTGCACATTAATTCAATCAAACGTCTATCAAATGAAGGCATACATGCCCCAAAAATAATCTTTAAAATACAAATGTACGGTGTGTATATATATATATATATTGCAGTGCTGTGCAGTTGCAGATATAAGCCACTGTGTGGCACCACACCTCAGGTTTCTGTCACCACAACTGGAATACAGACATCGGTTACAGATCAGCAGCAAACCTCACCCCTCTGGTATTTCACATGGTAAACTGAGAATCCTTTTGAAGTACTCTGAAAAGTAGGCCACTCTTGGAGCAGCTAGTGGTCATGTGACCTGAAGGGAAGTGGAGGTTTTTCTGTCTCTAGCTGTGCATATTTATCTAACAGATAGCTGTATTTTACAGTTAAGTGGCTCCATAACATTGATCAGGAGTCCTACAACCTCATAGAGTAGCATTGAGCAGGTTCAGACGGAGGACACTGAATTGTTTCAGCAGATTAGCATCAGCAGTGTTTAATTCATGCTTCACAATCATTGGCTCAAACTGCAGCTGACATGTCACGATAAATCCACTTCAAGCAGGTGATCAGCGCGGCCGGTACGACCTCATTCTTCTTATTCTGCCGATACACATTCATGAAAATGCCGTTCCTTCCATCACCCAAACCCTCCTACTAATGCGCTTTATTTTTGTTGTTCTATTTATATTTGATCTTCATGAATGCGTTCATTATGGGGAACTCAGAGCAGAATCGTTGCTGCTGCATGGATAAATGTTCAGTTCCTTTACTGAACTGACTTGTAGCTAACAACCCACATTTCCCCGATGATGATGATGATGTCGTCGTGACATCATCAGACCCACCTTTCTTTTTGGGGGTACAGGGCAGCACGTGTTTGTCCTCCTGCTTCCCCGCCACCTGACTGTGCTTCATCCGACAGAAGAAGGATCTCCGCGCCCCGGTGGACAAGTGGGGCGGCGTGATGGGGGCGTCCTCCTGGACCTGAACCCCAGCTGCACACACACAGATGACGTACAACGTTAGCCGTCGGCTTTTCTCACTCGTCTTCTACTCTTTCACGTCGTGTTTTTTTCGACTTCGGCCGTTTCTCCGACCCGACAACAGACTTACTGGCAGCATCGATGAGGCGTTGGCAAGGGTACTCCGAAGACGACAGCTGCTCCTTCACCTTGTTGATGTCTTTGGGGTGGATGAAATTGAACAAGCTCTGCCCAGTCAGCTCAAACTGCGAATGCAAAGGACACGCAGCTTTATACAACTTTAATATCTAGGTTTTTGTTTACTTTGTCTTTGTTCACAGTCCAGCGACCAGTTGCTTGATTGTTGTCGTCACACCGCTCATTGTGTCGACATAGAGCGAATGCATTATGACTGTTAGAGAGTTGCTGCAGCGTGTCCCTGAGATCCCTGAGATAACACGTCTAGATAACACATGCTGCCCTGCAGACGTGGTGTCAGGTTACTTCAGAAGCTTTTCTTTGCTTTTGGTCTCCATTCCTCTCTGCTTGTCTGCAAAGCTGGAAAATGTGGACAGGAATGTCGAGCAGGTGTGGCAGCCAATCGCCACTCTGACAAAAATGTATACAGCTCAGAGACTGTTGGCCTCAGCTACTCAAACAGGACCATTAGTGCATAGGAAACAGATAACTGATTGTGTGCAAAGACCAAAAAACACACATATAGAATATGAATGGATTAAGTACAACACTATATTCCTTTTTTCACTTTTTACACCGAATTATTTAACTTATAATAATAAATAATTTATTGATAATTTCAGTTATATTGTTGACTGGTCTAATACAATTTGACTACATTTTGTCAGTTTTGTGTCTCCATACATGCATGCCCTTTTTTGCCTCATTCTGCAAATTGACATTCAAATGTGAAAAAAGGTCCAATTAGGGTACACCTAAGTTAAATGTTTGTCATCTCATTAAAGTAGTAAAGTAGCAGGATGGCCTGCTTTTTAATAATTGACGAGTGTGTGATGTAGAGGTGCAAGCATACCCGGCTGAGGTTGAGGATCTTGGAGACGGACTCTGAGATGAACAGGACTTTAGCCCGGTCACAACTTACGATTAAGAGGAAACCATCCGCAGCCTGGGAGGAAGGTCGATAAATGGACATATCAATACACAGATAGATGGATGTAGCGATCCCATGGGACTAATCGGGGTCGTACAGGAGTACCTACCCTGAGCAGAAGGTGCCTGAGGTCATCGTGAGGCGGGATTGAAGACTTGTGGGCGGTGTTTGTAAAAGCGCTGCTCGACCCAGCTGAAAACAAAAGGGAGGGGGGGGCTTTTAGATGGATCGGAATGGACGTCGCTGACATTTTAAATAAGCGGGTGGGTTCGGAGTTACCTTTGAGGACTTTCAGGTGTTGCACGGCCTTCCGCAGGACCGTGAGCTTGTCGAGTTTCCGAGCCATGGGCTGACAGGCGGGGATCATGGCAGCCAGCTCGTCGATGAGGTTGTTCATCTTATCCCTCCGCCGCTTCTCGATCTGTCGGTGAGGCTCCCTGCAGGCAGAAATCAGACAATCAGACATACTAAATCTATTTTGGGGGGAAATAATTACTTGGAGATCATAAAGCAATTATTTAAAAATGATGAGTCATTATAGTTGTTGTTTTTTGGTTTTAAACCTAGTCACATTACACTGTAAATGAGACCAATCAAAGGCCTAAAAGGCTTTTCAAGACACAGACGGCACAATCATTTCATGTCAAAATAGAATTACCTGAAGCATTGGATTTTGACTTGCTGATCCTCTTCCTCAGATCTACAAACAAATGGGATCAAAAATGTAATTCCTTCGCCAGTGTTCTCTCATAAGACAGCATGCGAACGACACCCCGAGGTGAGTGTGTACCTGCTGAGGTCGTCATCATCATCATCCAATTGGAAGTCGACGCTGTGCCTGTGAGAGGGGACATATTTTTGGTCATTAAATAATAAGAGGAATGCATGCATTGTACAGTACAGTGTGTCTTTCACTCCTCTTGCTGTGCACGGGTGCCTGACCTCTCCTCCATGTCTCCCTTCCGTTTCCTTGGCAACTCGACAGCTGGCAGCGAGGAGCCCGCTTGGTTGGGGCCTTCCTCCTCTGCAGCGAGATCTGATACGTGAAAAAAACCACAGAGATGTGAGGGACTGCGTGCGAATGAGTCAACCTTGAGAGAGCTCTGTGGCGCTGGCTTGTCGGGTGCCCTATTAATAATTCACCATGAATGAATGTGTGAACAGGACCTGCTCTGCCGCTGGGGTTTCTTGGGTTTGTTGCTCAGAGAGAATAACGAGAATTAGTCAAGACAAGAGTGAAGCGGATTCCGTTTCTTGTTAAGTGCAAATGCCTTGAACAGAATTTTGACATTAAATGAGGTTGTTACTTTTACTTTTCAAATGGCCTTAAATGCAGAAGTAAATACAAAAATGTGTATATTAATAAGCTGGTTGGATAACAGATTGCCAACATGGAAAACTGTGTGTCAACAACAAAGTCAATGCACCATGCTATGGCAGATATATTGGGCTAATTACTGGCAACAGTAGCACCCAATCTGGTTGGCGGTTTTATAATTGTTTATAAGTAATCATAGGAGTCAACGATACTTTAATAAATGAGTAGTATTAAAAACAGTTATATTGGACTGTTCAGGGCTCAACAATCAGACTTGCATGGGGCCAGTAAAATGCCACATGTCTAGTAAATCTAAGCCTTCGTATATTGTATTGTTGTTTTGCCTAAAACAACAGATCCAAAGAATGTGGAAGCAAATGAAGGCCAGAATTTAAATATTGTGAAATACCACTGAATTTATAGAAGTGAAACGTTTTAATTTGAAAACCATCCATTTGAATTTATGTTTGAATTCTAATTTCAAGCTTTAATTGAATTACATTTTGTTTTTTTGTACGGAAAACTTCCATTTTCTAAATGAGTGAATCCTAAAGAGTGTACTTAAAATGAATAATTAAATATTTATAAATTGCAGAACCCGAAGAATAAATCTAAAAGAGGGGAATTCAATGTGTTTCAATGCAGTTGTATTTGAAAATAAAGTCAGTTATGGTCACATTTCACAAATAGGTCAACATAATTATTATTATTATTATTAATATTAATGTTTACCATCATATTTAGTTTTTATTATTTCTTTATTTTAGGCACTCAATTTATTTTACTATTGACTTACTTAGCATTAACCATACTATTAATCACAGGCCTTGCTTTGCTTCCATGAAAGTTCTACAAAGCAGACATGTGCATAGATCTGCATCTGTCAATCCTAATGTTTATGGATGCTTGATGTGACTGTTTGTCTTATTTTTTTAAACTACAAGTTATTGTGGCACAGCTTTGTTACAACCGGAGCAGAACCCATCAATATTTGAAACTGTTTTTGTCCTCAAAAGCCCAACTTGTTTGTTTTTTTGTGAGCAAACAATCAATGAGTCATGAATGTGTTTGCGGTCGTGGGGGGGGGCTCACTCACTCAGGAATGCTGGTCTAAATGCTGGAAGACTTTAAAGGCTGATCCATGCATGCCTGCCAGAAACATTTCTGAGAGCACGACTGACAGAATTTCTCCCTTTCTTCTATCTAGTCTCTCGCCAAACCAACTCCCCCTCCTTACTCTCTCACACACACCGCAAACACACACACACACACACACACACACTAAAGGCCTTGGCTCGGCCTTGCTCTATTGTCATCCTTTCTTTCTGCGTGTGCGCTGGCTGATGGTTGCCATTGAACGGCCATTGAAGCTCTTGACTGTCCGTTTGAAGGCTCGTGAGAGTGAATCATAACATTTGCATGAAGCAGTATCACTGACCTACTTCCCTCTCAGGACTACCACACTTTAAATTGTGACATTTACATTTAAACGTGACTGTTGATTGTGACTGACCCGCATTCTCCTGCTTTTTCTCAAGTATGATACAAACTGATACAAAAAAAAAATGAACACAGATTTGAGCTGAGCAGATGAGCTGCGATGCCGAAATTATTATTAGTATTTTTCAAGCTATCCTCAACTTTTGCACAGCGATACATAAATAACACTTCAACAGTGACCCTTTCCACGGGGTCAAAGGTCAAACACAGCTAGCTTTGACAAACAGGAGGAACTTGTTGGGAACTTTAATGATATTGAGATTGAATTCCTCCGGAGTCTAGAAGGTCACCGCTGACGCAAAAGTGGAATGTGGGAGCAGACGCATTGCCAGCTCTCCCTTCTGCCTACCACACCTCTTCCGCAGTGATGCTGCACAACACGCCACCGCCTCTAACGTCACAGCTTTTCCTGTCTCCCTATTAGTGAGGAGCCCCCCCCCCCCCCCAGCAAGTGGATGACACAGCATATTACTGAAACGCAGAAACGTGGATGTACAGGAGCGTAACAAACTCGGTATGACCGCGTGGTGCGATGGGTGCGCGAACGATGTGACCTACATGCGTTTCCTAACAAGTGTACATTTCATTCCACTTCAATAACATTAATGTATGTAATAGTGGAAAGTAGAGTATGACCAGCTTTGAATTATAGACTTGATGTATAGCCAGGAAAAGTATGCAAGAATGCCAGGGAATGCAATGCCCTGAGTTGATGCAATACAAACCAGTACAAAGCTAATTCAGCAATAAAAAGTCAAGATTATAAAATGGCCAATAAATGCCAGATTGACAACTGCCAAACAAACATCAGATTGGAAAGCATAAAAACTATCTTTCCGATACACACACACATACATACATACATATATATACATACGTATATATATATATATGGAAAGATAGAAAGACAAACATATACCTTTCAAACTACAAACATAGCATTCATCACCTGTGACTCAAACAGCCAGCCTGCACAGTGTTTTTCTAAAGGATGGATAGGCTGCATTCACACAGCTATTGTGCAAAACCGTTCCGACTCAAGCACGCGAGAGCGCTTCCTTTTGTTGATATTCAGCACCGAATGGCTGAGTCAAGGCCACAGTTTCAAGATCCATCAACAGTGCCGGGATCCCTACCCTCAGCAGTTTAATTAACCCATTAGTGCTGCATGTTCAGACCACTAATGAGTTCCTATGGATGTAAACAGGGACTTTCTGGCTCTTCATTTGTGGTCTATTCCAAAATGCAATATCACATAACCTCTGTCTAGACTTTTCATTTTCAGAAAAACTGTAATAAGATATTTTGATAACACCTCATAATGATTTATATTCATATTGTAGGCTATTAAACAGCTGCATAGGGTCTTTCAATGTTTATGGCCCACTAAATAATATGTTCTGGTAGGATACTTTAAAGCGCCTTTGCTACTTCATAGAGTCTAGTTAATTTTTTTTTTAATGATTGATTAAGCAGACATCACTGTATTGTTTCTCGGTCTACCTCCCTCTGCTGCACAGTGAAGGCAGCGCTGCTCTACTGATCTACTGACCCAATTTTGAAAGAAGCTGCGAGAGAGAAAAAACACGGAAGCTCGTGGAACCACGTGACAAGCTAAGCTCCCCAAGGACGGTCTTGGTAAGGTTGGGCTAATACAAAATACCGGTTAATGGAAGAGGGTGGCGATAGAAAATAAATATGTTATATATTTTATTAATATTAGGGTGAAATCGTCACCATGGTTCCCTCCCGAGCAGGAACAAATCCCACCGTCCGCGCGCGTCCAATCGGAGACGAGCACGTTATTACGGAATAATGAATGAACGAGGCTTCGACCGTAGCGACATCACGCGCGGCACGGTCATGCAATCGGTATTTTTCGAGCACGGCACGTTATGAGGCAGGTTTCCTTACTGCTCCACTCCTCCATGCACCCGGTGCTGCAGATAGTCACCGTGACATTTAGCTAGTAGCGTAGGCTAGGTGGTGCCGATATAAGTCGCTTATGACATCAACGTCGGTCGCTTCAATGTCACAAAGTTGAGCTGAAGTAAAGCTAAACAAAATAAGCAACGTTATCTTGTGAAACTACGGCCCAATTGGTCGCATGAAGGGACTGGTGAAGCTCGGCAGTACTTTCTGGAAGCATTCTCCGCAGCTTTAGTTGTTATATTTGTCAAATGATGGGAAAGAAGCAACAAAAGCCATTGTTCCTCTCCGGTCATAATACTCGTAACGTTAGCGAGCTTCAGTGCACACAATAATGGCTGTCGTCCACTAGCGACCCGTCCCTTGGCACCTACCTGCCTGCCTGTCCGCCGTCCCGTCGGAGCCTCCGGCCGACATGCCTATAGACTGAAGGCGGTGTGCCCGGTGTTGACTACGGAGCGCCGCATGCGGAGCTACCAGCTGTAGTAGTAACAGAGGAGAGGGAGCTGCAGAGAACCGGGTGTTGTTGACTTAAATTTCTCCTCAACCTCCTCCTCCCGTATATTTCTTTTTATGAAGCAGGCGGGGTGGGGTGGGGTGGGGGGCAGAAAACATGAGGGATGGGTGAGAACGGACCACCCATGTCTAGGAAACAAGGAAACGTTCACACTTGTCTCCTCCTTCATCGCCTTTTTTATGCCCTTGTTTACTTGACAGGACACACGACGTTTCGCTAGGACAGCTGCTATGCACTCATTTCAGCTGGTCTCACTCATGAATCAGCATCCTTTTAATTAAAAAATAAAAGGGGAAAAAAAACATGTGAAATGTGTTTTTTATTTATTTATTTGTATTCAATGAACTGGTTGACCTAGTTTCAATGAACTGGTTGACCTAGTTTCTCTGCATGAACCTGGATGACCTTTGCACAATTATGTACGCTGCTTTAAATGTATGGTTTCAGAATAGTCTAGGATTTATTTGTATTATTGTATGCATTTTTGTGCGTTTGAATTTGCCGTTATAAAACATAAACATACAAATGTGACTGTTTTTACAGAATGTTCAAGGATATGTATTTAAGGTCGTATATCAATGATTGATCTAAGAAGGGATGGTCGAACTGGGCCGTCGGGGTTGGAATGATACCGTGACAACGCTGATCTAATAATCCGATTCATTTCTAATGCACGCCCTGCACCGACGGTGCCGGTGAGAGATTGATTCTTCTGTGTCGCGCGAGCGTCACCGATCCGACTTCGCTGATCTCTCGCTTTCCCACAAACAGAGCGGCGATAGGGAGGAGGACTCACTCTGTCATTGTTTCCTAGTATGTGATCAACACGATCACACTTCAGAATCAGAATCAGCTTTATTGGCCATGTATGCGTGCGCATACATGGAATTTGACTCCGGTTACACATTGCTCTCATTGTACATACATACATAGAATATACAATAAACAAGAGAAATATAAAAACAAGGACATTAAAGACAACAAAGTAGAACAGAGAAACTCAGCATAAACATTTAAGTACTATGTACATATAAATATATATCGAAGAATATATATGAGCATAAAGAACAACAACAATGACAATGGATTTGGGATATTAGTGCAGAAGGTGGTAATAGTGCAAATAGTGCAAATGAAGATGCAATATGTCTGATTAATTGTTCATCAGAGTGACGGCCAGTGGAAAGAAGCTGTTCCTGTGTCTGGTGGTTTTGGCGTGTAGCGCCTACCTTTGGAACAGCTTGTGACCAGGGTGTGAAGGGTCTGCAGTGAACTTTCCAGCCCGTTTCCTGACTCTGGAGGTGTACAAGTCCAGGATGGGGGGCAGGCTGGAACCAATGATTCTCTCTGCAGACCTGACACTCCGTTGTAGTCTGTTCCTGTCCTGTTTGGTGGCCGATCCAAACCACACAGTGATAGAGGAGCAGAGAACAGACTGGATGATGGTGGAGTAGAAAATAATCAGCAGCTCCTGAGGTAGGTTCAACTTCCTGAGCTGGCGCAGGAAGTACAACCTCTGCTGGGCCTTTTTCCTGATGGTGTTGATGTTGGGGGCCCACTTTAGGTCCTGGGGGATTGTGGATCCCAGAAACCTGAAGGTCTCCACAGCAGACATAGTGTTGTTGAGTATGGTGAGGGAGGGGTGGCTCCTCCTGAAGTTTACTTGTGGGTAAACCACGTAGACTGTACATAAGAAGGTACACTGTGGCATAAAAATAACCACATGGAAATAAACACGGTGTGATGTTTCGTATACAAGTTTAATATGACGCTATTTGAATTGTATTCTGTTTGAATAGCATGATTAAAGATATGCTTTTAAGACAAACATACCCTGAATAATTATCTGTGTCTGATATGGTCCTTCCACACAAAATAAAAAATAAATTACATAGTACAAAACTGTTAAAATAGCATCTACTTCAGTAAAGGTTTTTGTCCTCATGGCTACGTGGACTTCCTTCATACATGATGTCAAGTTATATACAATACTGATAATGGGACGATCAAGGGTGGCCAGCATATGGGACGATCTTGCTGCGTTTGACATAAATATATTTAGCATGTGTGATAGAAAATTTTAGTGTGCTAGTACATTTCTACTGTGATTTAGTACATGTGCCTTACTGACTAACAAAACTATATGCGACATATGATTGTGTACTGAGGAGAGTGGTAACAGGACCATATGGGGTGTCTCTGTCTTTGCTTTGATAAGGGGAAGTAACCAAATGGGGGTTGCAGTTTAACCAGAGAATGTGTGAAGATTCCCAGGGATAATCAAAGGTAACAAAGACATGTCTTTGTGTGTTTCCTCAGAAGAGGAAGGGGATGACTGGAGGATGTCAATGGGGAGCTTGATGAAACTGCTGATCAATTGTTGTAATGCAAATACCTGATGTCCCCCCTGCTGTGTGCAGAGATGCTTAAGAGCAGGAGACAAACTGAACTCTTGGCTCATCCTCTGCGGACTGAGTTGCAGTCAGTGTGACGGTGAAGCCTTCTCTGGCCAGAGAATAAATACTTCAAAGACAAACTTCTTTCCTCAATGTTTCTTGTTTCAGTATTCAGTATTATAGGACTCACTCGGTACTATTGAATCGTTTTTTGCCACCACACATAGTGACATGTTATGTTGAATGGGTATTAACATATCTAACATTATAAGAACTCCAATGGTGGGCAAACATGTCAATTTTTTTTACGTGCTGTGGCTCTGTGAGAATATGCTAACTTAAATATTTGAGTGAATAAGGTTTTCATCGTGAATTTCTAAAACACAACATCAATCGATGTCAAAAACGACTAAAGAAAAGAGTAGGCTAGTTTTGGGAAGTATTTCAATGGTGTCCTCAGTTAAAAAAAAGTCAAAGTGACACGTCTTTTCCAATACTGACGATGTTCGGCTCTCACCTACACAGTGTAATTCCAGGACTTTGCACGAGATTTTACATAAGACAGAAGGCTCCACGTGCCAACGAGATACGTGTTGACCTATATATTATATAACTCGGCGGTCACGTAGCGAAAGTTGGCTCGGTAACCCATTTTAAAAACCGTATGCAGATAAATTACAGTCCCCGTGCATTTGACCAACCCGGAAACGTCGTAAGTGGGCAGGAAACACGAAAAACGTCGCTCTGAGAAACTTTCAGGGGGATATTAGAACTATTTGAGGCAGTAGTAATGTTACTGATATTACAACGGCTATTACTTGTGTGTGGGACACTCAAGAAGAAAACAAGAAAAGAAAAAATCCCAACATGGATATATCTGCAGGCATGTGTATGAACTCATTGTGCGGCCATGATTTCATAGGTAGTGTGACCGAGCGTCCTGGGTTCGTGTATGAGGGCGGTAATAAGCGGAGCCGGGAGACCACACATCTCGTTCAGCACACGGCTTCTCTCTTTATTTTTGTCCCCCCCCCCTTCGACCAGAGGCGGGAGTTGCTTTACCTCTACGGCAACCCTGAATGGACATAACATCTCCAATACAAAACGATAACTATGACAGTCCGTTACAGTAGTACTGTTAAGTCCATATTGGAATTGCTTTCTTAATATCCTAAATTCAGCTCTTTTCCTTGCTTCTCTTGAGTGTCCTACACGCAATGGTTTGTTTTCATGGAGTTAAAAGTTTTACAAATAATTTAGCTTAAAATATATTTACAAATCACTTGAAAAACCTCCAATATCACAGTATAGCCTTTGTACTCCCATTTACAGCCTTTTCACATTCAAAACAATATAAATGGGCCGGGTTTGGCCCGCAGGCCTGTTTGTAGGGTCTGGAATGTCCAACTCCAGGTGGAACTACTTATGTGTTCGGTCTTCGTGTCGTTCCGCCTGTGACCTCACAGTGTCAGTACTCCGCCCAAACATTTAGATGTCCTAGTTTAATCACTGATGTGGTGGTGGATAAAATAAATTAAAAAAACATGGGGCAACTTTTAAACTGAGAAAAACAACTTTGCATAAGTGGAAAAGGGGAAATACACACAGAAGGTAAATGAGGCAGGAAGTTCAAATGCTCCGACAGCATTACACATCAGACTTATATTTGTATAAGAGTGTGTGACAATAAACATCTAGAAATATAATGTATGAATATTAGGCAATGTGTTATTGCTGTCAAATTCATTGTAGGAATGATTAAAAACAGCGATGTCTTTCACTGCAGCAGCATTTGATCCTTTGTTATGAAATCATCAACCGACCTCGGAGACAGCAGTTTGTGCTTTGACAACACCTGGAACAGCTGTGCGCCTCAGCGTCCATTCATAAGATCCCGATCAGCTGCACTCATATGCATCAGGAGCTCCTCTAGTGGCCTCAGTAGATCACAGCAACACACTGTGCTGCTTTAAAAACTATTTTTTTCTCATTGATTTGGTTAATCGGAGCTCTGTTTTGGAAATCCTTACTTTTTGTTCAATGCCTTTCCCAAACTTAATTTTTTTTGTCATATATATTCTTGTCTTCCGTGTTTTTGCCTCCCTGTTTGATAGTCAGCAGTGTGGAGATAAAACAGGAAACATCTGTATGAAAATACAACACACGCTATATTACTGTAAACTCAGTCAAGAGTAAATCCTACATTTGTTCAAATGATCATTGTGAGAGTATTTTGTTGCATCAGTGTACTTTTTCTGTTTTGTATCTGCCACATAGGTTTGTTGAGACTCCGCACACCAAACCTTAGATATTGTGATTAGTTCGTTTAGGACTGAATGGATTATGTTTACATCCCCTTTTAATAATGTGCTGTTGAGTTAATGTTTTCAAAGCGTTCTCCAGGCCTCCACACGTGTTTATGAGACATGCAGTCTTAACCTTGTGAACCACTCCACAATAACAAGAAAAAAAAGACTTTAACTGTTTAATTTCTATTGTTTTAAGCACTTTATCAACATGAAAACTCATGAATGAGAATGAATATATTAATGAGCATTTCCTCTGTCACTCCACAGTCAGTTTCCTTCAAGTGTCTACTCTACAACAATATGTACACAGCATTACACAAAAATACCTCACGACAGTCCTGTGGAGTTTCTCTGTTAAACCTTACACGTGAGAATCTTGAGACTGAATTCTTGCTTTAACAAAGGGGGGGGGGGTTATGAATTGTCCGGCTTAACTTGAATATTTCCTAAACTCTTCTCAACCTCGCGGGGAAATGAAGTCACAATAATTTAGCTCCCTTTAGATAAAGTGCCACAGTAATGGATCTCTAGTCATCTCGTACTTATGCTGAAGTGTATGGATGCCAAATGCAGTATTTACCTTCCAGTTTTCATCTAATGTTGAAAGGGGAAAAACAACAACACAGAACAGGAGTTTGACATTGAACAAGGTCACTCATCACCTCACAACAACAAAAAGCACCGAAATCTACGTGGTGAAAACTTCCTTCTCGTCCAGAGCAGCATCTCGCACGCGCGCGCGCGCGCACACACACACACACACACACACACACACACACACACACACACACAC